ATTAGGTTTGGACATTGAGATGTTCAGGATTTGAAAGAGTGGCAGCAGCGGGACAGTCCTTGCACAGCTGTCTTCTCCCCCTGTTGTTGCTGTCAGCACAAATGGCCTTTGGGTGTAATGTTCTAAGTTGGAAGAAAAGCGGTAGCCACCTGGCCACAAATGATGTTCATGTCTATCCTTGGTGGCCCCTGTCCTTTCAGCAGACCGGTGAAAGAACCTGCAGAGACCAGCTTTACTAGGTGCACCTCTCATCTGTTTCTGTAAACCATCTTGTCAAATAAATAAGACCACGGCCAAATATATAAGGAAGTAGTGAAGGCTAAGTGACTGCATTGCCAGTATGCAGTACTTCCTGTGCAAGAATTAGCTAGAGGTCTAGCTAAGTGGGTCTTGGGTGTGGACTGTTGCCAACTCTTTGGTAGAAGAGCAGAGTTAAAATAGGAAGAGGAATGATGGCACTAAGCAGGCTGAGCTACTGACTTCCAGAGTGACAGAGACACCCCTTTTAGTATTTTGCTCCCCATTTCTCTGGGCCAGTAATCCAAGGTGTAGAATGCCAACAGCCCACATCCTGAGCACTGTTCTGCAGATTGGAACGAGGGAGATGTGACGCAGCCTCCTACTCTGCAAATCCAAACCTCTTTAACATGCGAACACTCTGAGAAGATTAACAGTCTGGAAAATTACTAATTTCCTTAGTGTTTTTTAAATTCTGGAATTTATCGCGGGACTTCTTCCACCTTCTGGAGATGTAAGATATAAGAAGCATTAAAAATGTGGAGAAAAGAGACTTATTTGTTTCCCTTTGCTAAGGTTTAACAAAGATATTGCCCAGAAATTCCCAAGCATCTGGCTAGGATAGTCTTTAAGGGGAAGGATTTCACCTGCTAACATGCTCTCTGCAATCTTATACCCACCTATTTGCTTGTTCTACATGGACTTTAACCAATCAGCATTCCTTGGTCCTAGGGATCATGTTGGTACTTACAGAAGGAATGACCCTACAGGGTCACTTACTGGCAGAAAGAACCCCTTTTCCAAAGTTCTGGACTATTACAGGAGCAACTGGAAAGTTAAGTAAAAAACTTTTTCTCTTTTCTTTAGGTTCAGATTACGTGGGCGGCCTTTCATCCAATGTTTACTGAAGGGAGATAAAGTTGAATGGAGTAACCTTCCAACTTGTCAAGGTCAGGCTTTTCTTACAGTTTTAAGAAGAACTCATGATCAGAGCTGTTGCAGAGTAACTGTTACAGACAGGACCTCGATGTAACTATTATGTTCACTCAATGCAGATTATGTCGATCATCTAGATATTTTTGGGAATGGGGAGACAGGATGAAAGTGTAGGAGGATGCATTGTGTTGCTGGTGACTTCTGTGGAAGCCACACTTCAAACAAACCACAAAAAAAACTCAGCCCTCTATCCCTACAGAGCATTCCCCTTGAGCTTGTTATCTGGTGTATAGATTCCAACCCAACTAACGACCTAATCAGACATGAACCCTGAACGCGGGGATGATGGGGTTTGATTAGATTCTCATTCCTCCCCAAATAATCTCTGCTGCTTTTGAAGTCTTTCATCCAACTTCTTTGATTTAGTGTAATTCCTCTCTGTTAACTATTCTCCTCCCTACCCCTCAAAACCAACCAACCCAACCGCACTCAAAATCTCAGGCTATTTCAGAGTAAAATTCAGTATTAAAAGTTCTTCCCAATTTATTTGCTTTAACTTTTTTGTCCTTTTGGACACGCCCTTCCAGAGCTGGTGTTTTATGGAGCATCTCCTTGAGCAATGGACATACTGGGTTGGGTCAAGCCTAAAAGCAGAACAACCTTCAGAATCTGAAAGGGGTCTTGCTTCAAATGTTAAAATGCAATGTTAAGAACCCTTCCAAATGGCTAAATAGCTTTCTGGTGGGAGCTGAGACAACTTTCTTAGTGAAGCTCTCTTCAGTTCATCTTCAATGTAAACTTTAATTTTCATGTTGACCTTCTTTGCTTCAGCAATACCTTGTCTTCCACCTCCTGATATCACCCATGGATCCCATACTGGTCAGAGTGAACAAGAGTTTTCCTTTGGCTCAGCGGTAACTTACAAATGTGACCAGGGCTTCTCTCTTATTGGAGAGGCCTCCATTCATTGTACAACAAAAGATCATGTCAACGGAGAGTGGAGTGGGCCTGCCCCTGAATGCAAAGGTTAGTAGCATCTGTTTTTATCCCCTTCTTGTTCTACTATCTCCTCCCAGGAAAAACTATATTTTGATTGCTAAGTAAACCCATAAACCTGAGGAAATTCAGTTAGTGCTTAGTCCCCCTAAATACGTATCATGAAAACTAAAGAATGATGGACACTTCATAAATCATTCCTGGAAACCATTTTTGCCTCTAATCCATCCTGTATTTTTTGTCTCCCTTCAGCGTTCCAAGGTTGCAGTTAATTCTCATATCACAAACAGTTGATTTTAACTAAGGTTTTGCTTTTATGCCAGTACCCTACTATTCGGTGCTAAAGGGGAAGGAGAGAGAGAGCCTTACAAGTAGGATTGTTTGGAAACCATATTTTTCAGAACTCTCTGGAAGGGCTCCTTATCAGTGAAGGCTCAGGTCTCTGTGAGTTCATCTCACAGCCATAATGTTCCTAGGAGGGGGAAATAAAGGTCATTGTACAATCCTCATTTGGGCGATGGCAGTGCTCACGCACACTATTGCATTTAGCTAACAATGCATTTATGTACTTGGTATTCAAGCAGCTGCAACAACTTGGTTTTATTCTTGCTGTGTTACCCAGCGTAACAGCTGGGATGGAGGCTTTTTCAGAGGCATTAGGCAGGTTGGTCACCTCGCTACTTGAATATTAACTCTCCCAAAAGCGGGGAAGTTCAGTTCCAGAATGTCATTGTATGTAGATCTCTTGACCCAAATTCCTGATGGCTTGATACAATGATGCTGTTTAACTCATGCAGTGTACTGGAGGGGGTGGGGGAAGGGCCTGATAGTCTACATACACCACAGCACCCAACTGTATGGGTAACATGTTCTTAAAGGGAAAGATCCAAACTTGGTTAACTTTATTTTAAAATACATGTTGGTACCTGCTGTAGTCAAGTATCAGGCATTGCATGTATGTATTATATTCTGTTTGACAAATATAGGCTGTATCTTAATACTGATGTGACGCTGCTGCTGCTGCTGCCCCTGCCCGGGGCTCGCGGTGAGTCGCGGCAGCCCCAGCAGCGGGCGGTGCCCCGGGCTGCCCGGGGCCGAGGACCTGCTCTGCACCCCGCGCAGCCACTGCGGGACAGCGAGCCCGCCCGAGGCGGCACCGCCCCACTGGCTGCGGGTGCAGGGACTTGGCCCGGTTACTCGGGGCCCTGGGGAGCGAGCGGCCGCGGGACAGCCCGGGCCGGGGGACAGGTGTGAGCGGGCAGGGCAGCGGGCTTGGCCCCACGGCCCGTCGGGGCGGGTGTTTCCGCTGCCAGAGACCCGCCGGGGCGATGTCTTGTTTTAGCCCCACTTCTGCCTGTGAGAGACAAGCCCGGAGCTCCCCAGAGCCCGTCCCCCGGCCTGGGAAACCAACTCACCGTCTGCAGCGGGGCTGTGCGGGGCCAGGGTCTGGGGTGGGACCCCAGATAACTGTGCGTGGAGCCCTTTGCTCACCCGGCCCCTGGCTTTACTCCGGCTGTGCTGGTTCCTCTATTGGTGATGTGGCCTCTAGCCTGGTTTTAGTGTAATTAACCCCTTCACCGTCTCACTGGGAAGTGGGGAGAATAAGTTGTTGGCTCCAGGGGTGATGCCCTCAGCACCTGGATGTGTTGTGAGGAATCAGCACAGAGCTGGTAGCTGAAGTCTTGTGAGCTGATGAGATGGTCCCTAGCTAGGACAGGATCAGCAGGGGAGTGCAGGCTAATGGGAGCCAGATCAGACAGGATTAAGAAAGAGAATTGATCAGTGAACTCAGGCAAGAAAAGGAGGAGGAGGAGGAGGATGAGACTTGTCTGGGAAGGGGCAGTTATAGAAGTGGAGAGGATCAAGGATGCTGTTAGAAGGCAGAAACACAAGGCAGTGACTATAAGAATGGCTGTAGTGGGTCTGACCAATGGTCCATCTACCCCAGTATCCTGCCTCTGATAGTAGTCGGTGCCAGATGCTACACGGGGAATGAACAGAACAGGGCGATTATAGAGTGATCCATCCCCTGTGGTCCAGTGCCAGAGTCTGGCAGTCAGAGGTTTAAAGACACCCAGAGCATGTGGTTGTGCCCCTGACCATCTTGGCTAATAGCCATTGATGGACCTGCGCTCCATGAACTTAACTAATTCTCTTTTCAACTCAGTTATACTTTTGGCCTTCACAACATCACGTTCACTGCTGGGACGGAGGAAGGGATATGGGGCAATAGTTGCAGGGATAGGTGGGATCAGAGGAGGACTTTTGAGATTGGGGGAGACCAGAGCTTGTTCGCATTTGATTCTAGTGAGCTGGTAACATGTCAGGGGATCTCCTATTGTGAATGGCACTCCAGGCATGTTGACAGGGCCAAAGATTATCCATCTCTAAAACTGAACTGTAATCCTCACTCTTGTGCGGAGGAATAGATTGTTTATGGTTCAAAGAGTTAATTGATGGTGTGGCGACAAGGGCAGTACACCTCATGCGTGTGGACATCTCTCACTGGGCAGTCTCAGAAATATTAAGGAAAATGAAATGAGTAAAATTAGTTGCATTTTTTTGTTTGTCTTAGCTAGGTTGTTCAGTGGTACTTTCACTTGTGTGTTAGAGACAGAGCTTTGACATATTTATAGGCGAAAGAAGGAGCAATTCTGGGATTGGGCCTCTTTTCTTTTAGCCTGTTTTGTCAGATACTAAAACTGTAAAAGTCACTCTAGTCATCTTGTGGCATCTGATGTCTTTCCGGGAG